TCAGCAGATAGCTAGCCAATGAGGAAAGTTTACCAGCTGACACTAGCCGATAGCCAGTGTCCAGTATTCTAGTAATATTAATCAAAAGTAACTGAAGAGCTATGCTGGTCAGCTGTAATAGAAGTTAATATGCTGCTTACCACCAAAACCAGCATTGCTGACCAGCTAAACCAGCACCAAACCAGCATAAACAAACATAAACCAATATAGACCGGCATGTAGTGTAGGTGGCAAATGAACTCACAGGACAGTTTACATGGTTCCATTTAAAGTACAAGGCTAAGCTAGTTTATTGACAAAGTTTTACCAAGAAACTTACATTCCCTGCCGAAAAATGACCATTAGAACCATTAAGATTAAAGCCGGATGGTTTTGCTTTCTAATAGGAATTGGCTTAATCGTTACCATTAGAGACCACAAGTTTCCAGTAGAACATCTTTGGATCCCATTAGGAAGCTATCAAATATATCCAGTATCAGTCTCAGAACCATTAGAGTCCTTTACACTGTGACATCAACCCATCAGGAAAACACTAAATACCATTACTGACTATTGGACACCACAGAGTCCTACAGGAACCAGCAGAAACTTTTAATGGCAAAGTTTTCTCTTTACAATGAATGAAAACAGACCGCTGTAAAAATGTTTAACATTGCATAATTTATTTATTTTATTTTAAAATTTATTTAATTTTAAAATATTAGGTAGTGTAAGACCCCCTCCCCCCCAAATAAGCACCCTGAGCATTACCACTCTTCTATTAGTACAATGCAGGATTTCTTACTGGGCCATGGATCACAAGTGGGCCACGAAGCACCCTCTGGTGGTGCTAGGGCTAATACTGAGGGGAAGTGGTCCCCAGCGGGCCATCGGTGGCACTTTGTAATAAAATTAAATGAAAAAACAGTTGACTTAGTCAGAACAGTAAAATATAAAAATGTTTTCAAGCTGTAAACAATACTAAGACAAGCTCAGCAACAACTCTAGAAACAAAATACGCTCAATCATTCGCTTCAGTCGCATTTCACTCGCGAGTGTACGAAAAATGCATTGCCATCATTTGCCTGATTTCTTCTATGAAACAAGCTGATGTCAGCCTAATTTTTTGTTCTAACAATATTTTATTTTCACTGACGTGTCACATATTGCGCAGGTAGACACCCAGACAACATGAGTCAAGTTTTGTTTTCCTGTGGGCCTTCATACTTTCTACAGCTCAATAGGTGGGCCTTGCAGCATAAAAGACTGAGAACTCCTGGTATAATGTACCACAAAAGCATCGCTACCAGTCTCATCTCTTAACCTTCAAATGTTCCAGCATCCCCCCCTCCATCATTTTAGCATCCGGAGAGCCGGCAGCACAGGCAGATCCGGGGCAATTTGGGATTTTAGAACACGCAGTAATCACGCCATTCCCTCCCCTCTGTTCTCTCTAATTCTAGCAGGTTCTGTCAGTCTGAGGTTTTGTACCATTTACATTTAATTCATTTATCCCACTTGACCTTTTGATGAGGTGACTCAATAGAGCTGCTCTCGGTCAGCATGGATGAAGCTCAGACTGTTGAATAAAGGTTCTAATAGGGGTATAAAAACGCATTAATGCATTGTGAACTCAAGTTGACAAATCAACTGAATAGATTTTGAAATGTTAGAATTGAAAATAATTATTATTAGTCACAATAACAACAATTATGCACTCAAAACAAATAAATACACTAATGTATTCATACGTTTTCTAATAAACATGTCACTTCACAAAGACAGATGTGTTGAGAACGTAAAGCTTGTACTGTTTATACTGTTTGCATTTTCCACTACTGTGTAAACAGTAAACTCCATTTGTCTGTTTATATAATGTACTTTTTTTAAAGAACTGCCCTGATAGCAAGAGGACAGTCGTCCACTGTTGGCCCGCTAATGGCAAAGCTGGCGATCCACTGGCGTTTTGCTCAGCGTTTTCCAGGAGGTCCACCGGTGTTTAAGCGGAGTACTAGACAAAAGTCCGCTTATCATCACTCGTTTTCCACTCACAGTCCAATTTACTGATTTTTCCTTCCTTCATTTCTTTAGTTATACTTTGTAAATCAGTTTAGTAAATAGTTTTTATCCAGATCAGCGTCAGCAACAACACTTTCTAAAGAATCATTTTATATCAGGACTAGTCATTATTTTTTTCTCTCAGTTGTTTGTAAAATTTAGTTTTATAGTAATGTTTATTTTCTAAAATAAAAGTCTCTGTGCTCTGTTTTACTATAGATTTATAAACCCATCATATTAGTCAGAGAATCATACTTGGTTTCAGACGTTCTGATTTCTGCTTTAGCTTTGTGTACTATTAGTATTGGATTAACCCAAACCAGTCCTAACTAAGTCCACAATGCAAGCTAGCCATTCCTAAAAATGACTGGGAGAAAGAATATTATACTTACATATGAAAGATAAGCCATCCCTATCAAACTTTATATAGAGGTTAGAGCTTGTAGCTTGTAGCTAGGCTAATCTGTATGTAGAGGTTAGAGCTTGTAGCTTGTAGCTAGGCTAATCTGTATGTAGAGGTTAGAGCTTGTAGCTTGTAGCTAGGCTAATCTTTATATAGAGGTTAAAGCTTGTAGCTTGTAGCTAGGCTAATCTTTATGTAGAGGTTGGAGCTTTTAGCTTGTAGCTAGGCTAATCTTTATATAGAGGTTAAAGCTTGTAGCTTGTAGCTAGGCTAATCTTTATATAGAGGTTAAAGCTTGTAGCTTGTAGCTAGGCTAATCTTTATATAGAGGTTGGAGCTTTTAGCTTGTAGCTAGGCTAAGCTTTATATAGCAGTTACAGCTTGCATTTTGTAAGTAGGCTAATCTTTATGTAGAGGTTGGAGCTTTTAGCTTGTAGCTAGGCTAATCTTTATGTAGAGGTTGGAGCTTTTAGCTTGTAGCTAGGCTAATCTTTATGTAGAGGTTGGAACTTTTAGCTTATAGCTAGGCTAATCTTTATATAGCAGTTACAGCTCGCATTTTGTAAGTAGGCTAATCTTTATGTAGAGGTTGGAACTTTTAGCTTATAGCTAGGCTAATCTTTATATAGCAGTTACAGCTCGCATTTTGTAAGTAGGCTAATCTTTATGTAGAGGTTGGAGCTTTTAGCTTGTAGCTAGGCTAATCTTTACATAGAGGTTGGAGCTTTTAGCTTGTAGCTAGGCTAATCTTTATATAGCAGTTACAGCTCGCATTTTGTAAGTAGGCTAATCTTTATATAGAGGTTGGAGTCTGTGTTTCGTAGCTTTATAGCCTAAACTTAGGCTATTTTCCCCTGTGGCATTTAGGTAGAAACAGCCAAGTGAGCTCTGTCATTGGTTAGAACTTCATGAGCTGCACTGAAGGCCTTACACATAAGATTAACTACCAACATAATAAAGACAGAGGAATCCAAAAGACAGAGGATTTACAATGAGGGACCAATTTGTGAGAAAAAACATCACTCTAGTTCCTCTGGAAGTTCTAGATACATCACTGACTGTGAAAATGAGTCATAGCCTAACCAGGTTGTTAGTTGGTTGTTAGGAATGGCAAACAGTGGTGGCAGCTCTATGCTAGAACTCTTTACTGACAGAATCACTGCTACATACTAGGTCAATTATGTTAATGGCTGTTAAATATAAAATGTTATTTACAGGCTTCAAAAGTCTGCGTTTTATCTAGAACAGCCAAAACAGGTTGTGCACCAGCGTTAGCTTAGCACCAACTTACTATTAGAAATGCCATAGTGTTGCTAGCAGAAATTAGCATTATTACAGAGGTGGGGGTTTAATTTGCATTTTTTAGACTCAAATTTTAAGATTCATGACCTGAACTGAAGGCCTAGCTCTACTAGTCATGGTCCACAACTGGATAAGACTGTGGTCAGTTTTTTTGACTGGGATATGCAAGCAATACATAAATGTAGTATTTCTTAACACCAGTTCTTAATGCTTATTCACGAATGACAGACGTTTTACAGTTTATGTACTGTTTGAGTTGTTTTTTTAGCAATTGTTACTATTTTCATACAGAATCAGTGTAAGTGTTGAAAACTGAGATAAAATTACAAAATTATATATTTTCTTCCTTATTAAACCATAAAATAAAATGTATTTGTATAATTTTATGAGGATCCAAGGCTTGTTCATACAAAATATATTCCTTGATATTTGTAATCCCTTTTTTCAATCACTTTTATACTAATACCGACGTTACTTCTCCGCTGCAGACTGGGCCCACCTATCCGCCCTCGTTAACTCTTGTGTCTTTCAGCATAAAGGCATCTCTTTGCTTCATGCTGTGTTCATATCCAGCCTGGATTACTCTGATTTCCTCTCCCCTCCTTACCCACCCTCTCCCCATCTCTTAATCCTTAAATGTCGCCTCGTCTCGCAAGAGATTTTTCTCCTCACCATCTGCTCCTCCCAATCCTCCCATTACCCAGATTAAACAGGCGATGTGAGTTTTTCTTTCCTCTTCATGGAAATGACAGATTAGCAGAGATGGTTTTCCTTTCATTCATAAAAATATGTCACACCTGCACAGTGACAGGGCTGTTTGGGCTAAAGCACATCAAGGTTCAGATCTAAGCTCAGTTAATACCTGTCTGGCCCAATGATTGAGCCTAAACCCCATCCCTGGTCATTTGTGATGCCTGGTCACTTCTGTTGGCCTTATGTGTCTCAAAGCTCAGTCATAAAGATGCATATACAACATACTCAAGACATGAAACACTTACAGCTTGACTTTTTTGGAAATAGCACAATTTTATTAATCAATAAACATTGTCCAAAAATAGTTTAATATAATATATAACATATAACATTTTGGCCTCATATATACACATTTTTGATGTCATTTAATATCCAGTGGAAAGTCATAATTGAAGCTAACATTTGCATAGTTTGGTGAAGTGTCTCTGTATGTATTTATTTATTTTTTATATCATTGCGTGCATTTGCATGTGTGTGTGTGTGTGTGTGTGTGTGTGTGTGTGTGTGTGTCCCCTCACACTCCTCTCTCAGCAGTTTGACATCATTTTCACAAACTCTGCAAAGAAAAAGTGAAAATTTAATATTAGACTATGCTGCACACTTACTTTTCCAATGTGATAAACAACCTTTTTTTGGAAAATGTCCTCTTTATAAAGGTTCTTCAACTGAAGAAAGTTTATAATGACTGGTGTTTTAACCTACAGGCGTCCACATTTCAGTTCTTCACCCTTATGACTACATAGTTCATAGTAGTTACTGAATAATTCACAGTAGATACTAAATAATTCAGAATAGTACTGAATAATTCATCATAGTTACTGAATAATTTATTGTAGTTACTGAGTAATTAATAGCAGATACTGAGTAATTCACAGCAGACACTGAATAATTCATAGTAGATACTGAATAATTCATTATAGATACTAAGTAATTCATAATAGTAACTGAATAATTCATGGCAGATATTAAATAATTCATAGTAATTACTGAATAATTCACAGTAGGTACTGAGTAATTCAGCAGATACTGAATAATTCACAGTAGATACTAGGTAATTCTTAATAGTAACTGAATAATTCACAGTACATACTGAAAAATTCATGGTAGATATTAAATAATTCATAGTAGTTGCTGAATAGTTCACAGTAGTTACTGAATAATTCATAATAGATACTGAATAATTCATAGTAGATACTGAAAAATTCATAGTAGATACTGAATAATTCATAATTACCAACTATCCTTCTTCATTGTAGCTACTATAACCAGAGAGATGAAAATGGAAATTTTGAACACATGTTTGCTAAGTGTGCATTTAACTGGCAGGCAGGGTGTGTAAAGGCTAAATAACCACAGGCCCACCTTTTACAGCACTAGGTGTGAAGGGATGGGACGAGTGAAGGCTATATACACCTTTGTTTCCTGTACTACAGTGAATTTTACTACCTAGCACACTAGTTAGGTAAAGTCCATCATCTGTTTGTACCTCTCTAAAGCGCCTCTTTTCACTGTCGTGATGTCACAAAAACCAATGCATTTACATAAACCCGCCTTGTCGGCCTACTGCAGTTTAGCTCCGCCAGTTTGCACTGAAGTTATAAGGAGTGTTTCAGCTCAGACTGCTTTTTGAATGAGGCAGAAAACAGGGCAGCCAATCAGAACAGAGCTCATTTACATATATCAGTCTTAAAAGAACAGTAACCACAGCCTCTTTAACTCTAAGTGATAAGGAAAGGTGGGAAAATAGTCATATAAAAATGAGCTAATGACCCACAAATATCATATCGCTGCTGTCGGAACAAAACCTTGTATCTCCAAAATGGTAACTTTACAGGAGAAGGGAAAAACACACTTTACTTTTAATGTAAGTCAATGGAACCAGATGTTTTTCCAAGTAATTCTGGGCTATTTCTTTTGGTCTATTCATCATGAAATTTACATACAATGTAAAGGACGACAGGCATTTTCAAATTATGTCAAAAACTGTAAAATGACAAAAAATGGAGATACAAGGCTTTGTTCCGACAACAGCGATATGTAGAGTAGAAATGTGATATGGGACATTTAGGATTATTTACAGTGTAATAAGTCAGTTTGTACCTTCAAAGTCTACTGTTCCGTCGCCGTTGTTATCCGCCTCTTTAACCACTGCGTCGATCTCTCGGCGGCTCATGTTTTCCCCCATTAGCTTAGCCATTGCTAGCCTCAGCTCTTCTGTTGTGATCTCTCCATCTCCGTCCATGTCAAACTGCAGAAGAAGAAGAAACGGAAGAAAACAGAAGAACAAGAACAGTTAACTACACAAGACACGCCAAGGTACTGTAGCACTGTAGCGTCTCCTCTTTACTGTCGAAGTTATAAAGTTGTGCTTAGCTGGTCCAACTTTCCACATAGCTCCAGGTTCTCTTCTCACCTCTTTGAAAGCATCTCTCAGCTCCTTCATGCCAATCATGCCGGCTGTTTCAGCCAGGAGTTTTGGCGCCATCAGCTCCACAAAGTCCTCAAAGTCCACTCGGCCTCCCACTGCAGGACACGGTCAGTTAGTTAGTACCACAGAAATGCAGCACTGTCCAAAAACGTATTCAATTTCCAGTCAAAACATCTGTTAAGTATAAATTCAGGAGATACTTTGAGGAGATTTGATAAGATAATGCACTTTCACAGGGAAGTCAAAGGCAAATAAAAAACACCACTGAATGTGTTTGATCACTTCAGAAAATGATCAACCAGCTTCTAAGACTGAACTTTGGAGGCGTGTCTGCAGATTCTTTGAGGAGCTGAAAGTGAGTCTCCTGAAAAGAATGGAAGCTGGAATAAAGGTGAAGAGTGCACTCTTAAAAAGATGGTTCTTTAAGGGTTCTTTAGAAAAGAAAATGGTTCTATATAGAACCATAAACACTCAAAGAACCCTTTGCATGTGTAAGGCTCTCTGCATTGTGAAATGGTTCTTGAGATTGATGGAGAATGTGTTGTATATGGTTCTATATAGCACCAAAAAGGGTTCTTACAAGGGTTGTTACAAGCTTGACATCGTAAAAATAGAAGAGCCACATAGAACCCTTTTCAAAAAGGTTCTTTATAGGACCATGAACTCATAAAGAACCCTTTGTGTGATTAAAGGGTTCTCTGCATTGTAAAAAGGTTCTTCAGATTGATGGAGATTATGTTGCATATGGTTCTATATAACACCAAAAAGGGTGCTTACAAGGGTTGTTACAAGCTTGACATCGTAAAAATAGAAGAGCCACATAGAACCCTTTTCAAAAAGGTTCTTTATAGGACCATGAACTCTTAAAGAACCCTTTGCATGATTAAAGAGGTCTCCGCATTGTGAAAATGTTCCTCAGGTTGATGGATAATGTGTTGTATGTGGTTCTACATAGCACCAAAAAGGTTCTGCTATTGTATACCATTGTATACAAGCTTGACAATGTAACAATAGAAGAACTCTTTTCAAAAAGGTTCTATTTAAAACCATTTACAACACATTCTCCACCAATCGGAAGAACCTTTTCACAATGCATAGAACCCTTTAATCATGCAAAGAGTTCTTGAGTGTTCATGGTTCTATACAGGACCATTTTCTTTACTAAAGAACCCTTGAAAACCATCTTTTTGAAGAGTGTGGACACATGAAATACTGAGAAATTGATGATATGTTTAGTATATACAGTCACATGCAAAAGTTTGGGTGGCACATTTTGTATATATGTTGTCCAATATGTTGAGTAATTAGGCCAGAAGTGTTCAAACGTTTGTTTACGATTGTATATGCTTATCCTAAAAAATGAACATCTCATACTTATTGGGAATTTGGAGAGGACGTTAAAGAAGTGATGTCATGATATAATATAATCTCTGTTGAAGAACGTACGGTTCATGTTGATATTCTGGCCCAGTTCGATTAGCTCCATCTCAGTAGGCATGTAGCCCATCGTCCTCATCAGGTTCCCGAGGTCCTTACAGCTGATCAGTCCATCTTTATCCTTATCAAACTCATCAAAGGCCTCACGCAGCTCTGCAGAGAAAGATTAAAAACACAAACGCTGCAGAAAAGCTACTGCTGTAATAATGAACTGATGCAGCAACAAACTGTAGACATTAACGCACTCAGAATGAGACACATCAGTGAAGCAGTGCTCTCGTTCAGCTCAGTGTGGTTTCTCGTTCTACACTGTAGAAAAGTGCTGTAAATTTACAGTATTTTACAGTAAAAAGCTAGTTGGTTATTTTACAGAACCATACTGTAAAAGATTAAACATTTGCAGCAGTGCATTGGTTTACAGCAACATACCAGACAATGCAATCTATAGTGATTTACTGGAAGCAGAGTTGGCAGCAAAGAATACAGCAAAATACCGTAAAATACCTACAGTGAATATACAGCATGTTACTTGCATCTCTGCTGTCAGTAAATTACTGTAAATTGTGTTGTCTGGTATGTTAACCAACGCAGTTTGCAGTCTTTTGCGGTATGATCCTGTAAAATAACAAACTATTTTTTTAACTGTAAAATACTGTAAATTTATAGTGTAGAAGCTCACTGGAGAACGAGAAACCACACTGAGCTGAATGAGTCCAATTACCCTACATTTTTTATAGAGTCGTTAATATTCAAAATCATACAGCATTGTGCTGTATTAGCCTTTAGCCTCACATATTAACTCTACTGAGCACTACTAACTGTTGACTGCAAAAATGACTTGATAACAAACTTGGATGGTGGTATGTACGGTCTTAGTTTGGGAGCCCCTGGTCATATGACATGTTGTTGTTGATTTTCTAAGTGAAAATAAGTAAAATGTGATATTTAAGTGTGTTCTCTGAGGATGCGTTAACTTATTCACACTTAGAAAAGCAACAAAATATGGAATTTGACCAGGGGTGTTTAAACATTTGTATGTGACTGTACATAATAGAAAGATCAAAAACTTTTTCAAAATAAAAAACTAACATTTTTGTAACGCTAAGGCCAAAATATTAACAATATTTATGTTTTAATGTGAAAGTTAGGCTTATGTCACAATATAAACCCAGTGCTATATTTGAGGAATAGAATGTAAACTTGACAGTTCAGTTATTTACCTTCAATCTCATCATCTGCCAGCTGTCTGTCCTGAAAGACAAAGAATTTCATATATTTATAATACGTGATGTTCTAAACTGACACTTAAAGCACTGCCAGTATCTCTCATTCACATATTTCTGATACTATATGAATTAAACAAAAACATTATGAAGTATATTACACCTTGTTTACAGTTTATAAAACATACTGGGTGATTTATTCGGTCTATACTTAATAGATTAATATACTCTTTCTTATCAATTTTTGCATTGATTTTTCTGATGCTATATGAATTTTTGCACTGATAAATCAAGTATTTATAGAAATACACAAATCTTTCTTATATTTATACAAAATACAAATATTTGATTTTGTGATATTATTGATCATCCTTAGTATCTTTCTTATTATTGGTCCTTCTGATTCTGTATGATAGATATAAATATAGATATTCAGCTTTTTTAGTAACTTTCTTATATTGCTTTTTCTCATATGAATTTATCACTACTAATCACTAATATTCACTAATCATATTAGTGATAATAATCACATAATAGTCACATAAATTTTAATTTATATTATTCCATCTTAAAATAAAACATTCAAACAGCCCATATTCAGTACATTAATATTAATATTTTCTTGTCTTTCTTAAATTGATATTTCTGATATTATACTAGTGATGCATATATTGAAATACTTTTAGCTTTTATATCAATAAAATATATTTGTATTTGTATTGTATAATTATTGACCTTTTTTAAAATATCTTTCTGTATTTTTATATGATATTTCAGGACATCATATAACTTTTAATAAATAATGTAACTATTGAAATATTCAAATGAATAACTGTATAAATATTATATTTCTATTAAAAAATTGTATTAAAATTAAAAAGTGCAATATATTTTGCCGTGATTTATGAGTTCTAATTTAACATGGTGTCAGAAATATCATAGAGCTATATTAAACATTGATATTAACATTTTATGATAATATATACAAATATATGTAATATATTAATAGTGATCTGTCTTGGTATCTTTTTATATTGATACTTCTGACGTCACACAAATGTAGCCCTAATAAATCACTCTGTATATTAAAATAATGAATCATTCAGGCAGATATTGGAATACAGTAGGATGTCTGAGATACGTACGATCTTCCCGCCCCGTATGAAGATGCAGGCAGTCATGTCCGTGAGGAAGACGATGCTGAGCTGAAGGAGAGTGCAGCACTTGCGTGCCCGGCTCTGAGTCCGCCTGACTGTCAGAACCAAAGGAATAAATACTGCTTAACAATAAAATATTCCACCAATGTCACTGTTAAGGATGCACAATAATACCAGATTAAAGGTATATCAGCAGATAATTGTTAAAAAAATGATCAGCGTTGGATTAGATGATTAGATTTGGCTGATATTTTAAGCTCATATTTGATAATATATTTATTGCAGAGTATAATGTTTAGGTGATGCTGGGTTACTGAACTAAAATATCCACACTTTATTCATAAAAATAACTGTTTAGTTCATCTGCAATGTTAATTCAGGTGTGTTTAGCCTTAGTTTCTACATTTTAAAAATGTTTATGTATCAGTGTTGATAGATATGTGCAAGAAAATTATTCAATACCAGCATCAATTCCCATATCGGCACATCCCTAGTCACTTTAAAGGGGAATTCCACTGATATTTCACAATTTCTGCATAACTCAGTGTTTGAGATGTAAACAGAGTCATTTAGAAGAGACTCAGATTACTTTACAGTGGTGGTGATAGGAACCGGGGTCGTGATTTCGGCAAGTTTCTCTGGAATGGAGCATTTCACACCAAATCACTCTGAATGACTTTACATTTCGACCATTTCATTATGCAGGAATTTTGAAAAAGTGGTGGAGTTCCCCTTTAACTCAAACTTACTATTATTATTGAAATATGATCATTCTGCTCACCTCTATTCAGTCGATCTGAGGTCTTTCCACCCTCTCTCTTCGCAGTGGTCTGTCTCTCTCTCTCTCTCTCTCTCTCTCTCTCTCTCTCTCTCTCTCTCTCTCTCTCTGCGGTCAAAAACAAGTGGACGGTCCTTCTTGATTGCTCTGACTGGCCGAGAGCGTGTGAGCTGTTTGCATAGAGTGAGCGGCAAAAAAGGAGAGCAGCAGGAGGGAGTGGTCATGATGACATCATCTGTCCCGTTCAGCATCTCAGCTTGAATGAGTCAAAAATAGAACGACCTGTTGGTACAGAAATGACACAAATGCTGGATTTTTACCTTGAAGCCAGTGTCATGAATTAAAGGGGAGCTCCACCCTTTTTTCAAAATTTGTGCATAATTAAATGGTTAAGATGGAAACAGAGTCCTTCAGAGTGGTTTGGTGTGAAACGTTCTGTTCTAGAGAAACTTACAGAGTCAGAATTGTTCACACTGATAGTTTTGTAACAAGATTTTGGCCTAAAATGCATCTTTTAAAAGTCATTCATGGTGGACAGGCAAAAATAGTCCCCAAAGAAAACTTATTATTTCAGATTTTCCACTATTTTCCCATCATCAACATTCAGTATAAACTCAGAAGACTCGTGTAGGTTCACTGGTGGTGTTGGATAGTAACTAAAATGTCTATATGTGTGTTGCAGTCATGGCGACCCCTGGTTCCTATCACCACCATTGTAAAGACATCTGAACCATTTCACACCAAACCACCCTGACTTTACATCACAAACACTGAAATATACTGAAAATTTTAAAAGTGGGTGGAATTTCCCTTTAAATTCACAGAATCTAATCTATTGTTGATCGAAAAGTAAACAAAATAATGTACTTGTGCTTTAATCTTTAAAAATAAGCATCTTATACAACTTCTTTTATGTCTACTTTTCTGTTATGTCATACTCTGTTAGGTAAACATGCCACTGATATGTTTTTGGCTGCTGTGGGATTTAATAATAAGTCAAACCTGAATCATATAACCTCCGTCTGGTCCAGAGACACACAGATGCCGAGTGTTTTTACCTTAGCGTGGGTCAGTGGAGTAAACAGAATAGGATTACACAGTAATTCCACTGTTTCTATACAGCGCACCAACGCATGTCATGGCATCTGGGATTAGGACACATGAAACGTTTGCTCATTATTTAACGACTCGTTATGTAAATATTCTGATTGAAGCTGTATGGACTGTAATTCTGAGCTAACAGGCATTCACAACACAACGAACAAGCATCACCTTTGGGCTTAAAGTCCATATATTGTGTATATATATACATACATATATATATATATATATATATATATCGCTGTTGTCGGAACAAAACCTTGTATTTCCAAAATGGTAATTTTACAGGAAAAGGAAAAAACCTACTTTACTTTTAATGTAAGTCAATGGAACCAGAATTTTTGTCCAAGCAATTTTGGGTCGTTTCTTTTGGTCCATTCATCATGAAATTGACATACAATGTAAAGAGCAACAGGTACTTACGTCAAAAATGGAGATACAAGGTTTTCTTCCGACAACAGCGATACATATACATATATATGTATATGTATAAATATATATTCGGATTTTCTTAGGCACAACATGGAAAGTGGTAACGCACAGCCTCAAGTGGCTTATTGCTTTTATAAAACGGTGGCCAATATAAAATACGATAAAATACACAATTTTTCAGAAAATAATTTCTTATTATTAATAATAATCAACATAAATAAGTATTCCGCCAAGAAATGTAGGTCCTTTAGAGTACGGTATCACTGCCAAGCAAACATGGACCTGAAAGAGGAGATCGTTTGGTCGCCCCTCCCTGTACCCTGCGGTCATTTCATGAACTTTTTAACTTTGTCATATAACAATGAACATATGATATCACAGCACTGTTTGATGCGGAAACGTTTGCTTTATGAGTACTGTTTGGCCACCAAATCACCACCAAGAGTCTTTTTTGGCACCAATCCTCACTCTGGGGCTGAATCTCAAACAGCTCCCTGCTCCCTACATAGTGCACTATGTAGGAGTTTAAATACTGGATCCTGCAGACCAACAGAGCAAAATACAGCTAAGAAACAGTCATTTGGGACTCAGACACATCCACACTCCATAAACGATGCACTGTTTGGCTTTAGAGGCTAGAATTGCTAAACTTTCATATATAGAACACTATTTAGGGAGTACAGAGCCGTTTGGGATTCAGCCTGGGTTTGACGCGACTTCTGACTGAAACACATGTGACCAAAGCCCAGCAGTGAGGAGCTGAACTTTACCCTCCTCTGCTGTCACTGCAGACTGGCAGGGTCGCCTACAGAGCAGTGCTGGTAGCTGTTAATGAAGTAATGCTCTTTTTATTTGAGGGTCCCATTTCAGAGGGAAGATTTCAACCACTACCCCTTTAAAATTCAGTTCCAAGGGACAAGGTGACACTCAAAAAGAAGGGGCAGGGGTAAAAATAAGAAATGGGCTTGGGCCTAAGTATTCATCCCCATCAAATTTGAAACCCAGCAATGCTTCAACCATCCATAACTGGGAGCCCAAGAGGACAAAAAGTCTGTTGGGATTGTATGATGCAAAGAATCCCAGCTAGTGGGGAAATTACAGGACATACACTGTTGAAAAAATGCAGCTTTAAACCTAAAAAAGCCAAATAAACAGGGCAACGTGTGATGTAGAGTTTATTGAAGTTTGAATAATAAGTTAACAAATGTAAAACACATTTAAATTATCATCTGTCCCGTTCAGCATCTCAGCTTGAATGAGTCAAAAATAGAACGACCTGTTGGTACAGAAATGACACAAATGCTGGATTTTTACCTTGAAGCCAGTGTCATGCATTAAAGGGGAACTCCACCCTTTTTTCAAAATTTGTGCATATTTAATGGTTAAAATGTAAACAGAGTCGTTCAGAGTGGTTTGGTGTGAAACGTTCCGTTCTAGAGAAACTTACTGGTGGTGATAGGAACCAAATCATTATTTAAATTATGTTAACTTAATATTAAGTAAAATTTCAAGATAACCTGGTTACTAAATTTAAAATATGCTTTCTATTTTACAACGCATTCTATATTATTACTAAATTAAGATTCAGAACCAAAAATGTGAGCTAGGAGAACATTTGACTAAACAAATAAATTTGAGTTGGGTGAATTCTGGTGCCCTCCAGTTGAGTTAACTCAAGAAAAGTGAAGTTGAGCTGACTGTAATTTTTAACAGTTAATCTAGTAACAGAGTTGATGGGAAATATTAAATTAAATTCCATTTTACACAAGAAAAGTGAACGTTTTTTAACATTGCTCCCATAATGTGTGCAATAGAAAGCTAAATAATCGCCCACTGAAAGGTTCTCTGGGGAATCAGAAGTGATTCATCACTTCAAACCACCTTACAGTCTTTTCCTCTTATCAGTTTAGCTGAAAATGAACATAATAAAGTAAAGTAAAAGTAAAAACATCTGTAACACTTCCTATGACCCCTGTATTCACAATGCTTTATAAATGCATTTCTAAGGCATTATATGTCATGCATAATACCCTATAATACCTGGCATAAGCCTGTGTAATTGCTTATAATTAGTTGTTATTACATGTACAAATCTTTGTAAAGCAGGACTTTATATCTTTATAATGTCAGGTTTCATAACGCATTATAATATCCGCTCATAAGAACGCTGCAATGCACTATAACAAGGTTCTGATTACTGACTCCGCTAAAAGAAAGGAGTATTTCCAAAAATATTAACGGAAAAAAACTTAAACGTTACTGGTAACTGAACAAAAAAAACTGGTAACGTAACTGGTAACTATTACGATGCATTATGGAACCTGACTTCATGAAGTCATACTCCTGCTTTATGAAGTGTTATGCATGTAATTGTACCTACACTCTTAAAAATGATGGTTCTCCAAGGGTTCTTTAGTAAAGAAAATGGTTCTATATAGAATCATGAACACTCAAAGAACCCTTTTTATGATTAAATGGTTCTTTGCATCATTAAATCGTTCTTCAGATTGATGTAGAATGTGCTTTAGATGGTTCTATATAGCACCAAAAAGGGTTCTTCTATTGTTTAATGTCAAGCCTGAACCCTTTTTGGTGCTACATAGAACCCTTTTCAAAAAGGTTCTATATAAAACCCTATAAACACACTCTACATCCATCTGAAGAACCATTTAATGATGCTAAGAACAATTTAATCATGCAAAGGGTTCTTTGAGTGTTCATGGTTCTA